AAAAAGTTAGACGCATAATTCTAAAAATCTCTCTTCAGAATAAGGATTTCAACCGTCTCACTTCGATAACATTTTACCAATATGATAATAACCTTCTCTCGCCCTTCCTTAATAATTAATAACCAGTACATTTACGTACCATCATACTGTTCATTTCTATCAAATTACACATTCTATGCAAACTTGTGCAAACAGAAACCACGAGAAAGTTTCACTATTAATTAATCACTTCCAATCTCGAATCAAGACCTAGAATCTCAATTTCACGATGAATCTGCTTATCAACATATAATTTCATTTCCACGTCACAATTCATTTCTTCGATAATAAATAAACACGCATTTGTCAAACTTACGAATTTTCTTCACTCTTATCTCTTAACAAATGTACAAATACGAATTTGAAAACGCAATTTTGCCAAAATTTTTTTGCCTTTCTACTACTATTTTCATTATTTGCTAGTTAAAAGTCACTCTCCCCTCTGTCTTTCCATTCTTTCCATTCTTTTTCGTCGAACAAAGGGAGACGATCGAAACGAAGACTCACTTAATAGGTATATCTGGACCATGTTCCATGCAAAGTTGGAAACTTCAAACTGGTTTCTTTCGAGAAGTTCTCTCTTGGCAAAAGACAATGGCTCTCGAAAAGTTGGTTGTACGTATTTACCAAGGTTCCTCCTCCTTGGCCATTCTCACGGTTCCCCGGACATCACGTGGCGCGGAAACTTTCCTGCCAATTGCGAACGTTTCTCATGGAAATCCAAACCGCGTTTCACGAACATTTGCGCGCCACGTGGTCGCCCTCTCCACTACGGAAAACTGGAATTCGAGCTCGCCCCCGGCCAACTTTTGTGTCACCTCCCAGAAGAACTTTCAACTGGTATTGAATACATGGAGCGTTTAAAAAAAAAAAAGGAGATAATGCGATTCGTAAAGGTACAAAAATTCTTTCATTTGTTGTTTCCTTCTTTAATTCGATTAATGTATCTGTTCGTATTATTCTCTCGTTAAAAAGACGAAGATTCGTTGCGTTGAGAGAGAGTATATTCAATCTGAATGGAGATAATATGGATTATATACGTCTATCGTAGAATAAGATAGAAATATGGTAGTTTTGAATTTTCAGTGACAATTGCCGCGACCTTGGTGGTGATGACCTTGAAGCCACGAGGTCGATCAATGGGATATTGTATGAAAAATGAGGACAGAAGGGACGCGATGTATAATATAAAAGAGTTTTAACGAAAAGGAAATGTTGGTTGCCAGTGCATGACCTTGACCTACTGCGACGACTTTACGCGAGGTCAGTGAATTCGTTTTTTTTTTTTTTCTCGCAGGAAAAGGTCAATATATAGCGACACATGGGTTAAAAAAAACATCAAACGCGAATCACCTTTAACATTTTTCTGCACCAGTCTGATGAATCCAAAAATAAACTAAAGGTGCTATTTGTAAAATTCCATAATAAATATACCCGTTATTTATATAATAATTTTCTTATATTTGTATCGCTAATAGACATTTTTATTTTTCAAATTATTAAAGAGGAATTTCTTTCCTCAAAGAAGAGTGGAAAGACTTTCATACTTTTTTCATTCGTTACAGTCGGTATTAGAGTTACGTTGTGACGAAGGACGATCATTTTAGAACAACATTTTATAAAGAATTTCTCGCATACGTATCACGGAGAAAAGTTAATTTTCACTCGACAAGGCTATTGTTGAACACGTTGTCTTCAATTAATTTTTAAGAATCGTTATCCGTTAACGATAAAAATAAAGGGGAGGACGGATGAAGAGGAAAGAGGAACTCGAAAACCCCATTGGTCCTTCGATTTCAAATTGCCCCCTTTTGATGAGAACATTTGCATAGTTTAGTGCGCTCGTTTCCAACAA